ATTTTGTGTGACTAAAAATAAGTTTGGGACGAAAGACAAAGTTGCGAAATCAGCCCAGTCACACGTCACGCTGCAAGTTTGCGGCTGGATCAAAAAATGACATAAAGTTCCGCGCGGATGCTAAAAATACGCAAAGTTCCGCGATTTATTTTTGCTTCAGATCCCGTGGCATAACCAGTATGAAACTCAGGAGAAATATAAAAGCATCTGAAACCTATTACTTATATCAAGGCCAAAGAAATCTGGCCTGGACAATCTTTCTTCATCAATTGGTTTATCCCAGATAAAAGGAGATATCTTAGGGCCTGTGAGACATCACAAATCATGAGAAATCGGCTCGCCGTATAGAAGCCCCAATACTAGTCATATATCTGCTGTAATATTTATCATGACGCAACTGCAACATATATGATGAGTTGATTTCTCACGATTCAAGATGCCTTTTCTATGGCCAGAAATATATTCTTTCATTCGGGCAGATCAATTAACAGACCAGATCTCTTTGGCCTTGAAATAGCAAGTTTCAGATGTAAATGAGTCACTACCACCAAATAAGACAAAACAATCTTCAGTCCCCATACCTGTTATGAATTGTTAGGAACACTTTTGAATTCTATTTTACTCCATTACAGAAAATAGGGGTGTCAATGACAAGATTGACTTCATTTTATATGTAAGAAGTTGATAAGATTCAGCATCGCATTCCAAAAGAGAAAGAAGGCATTCGGTGGAGAAAACGCAAAGGTCATCGTGTCGCACACGGGGTGTCAACGAAAAACACTTTACTGCGGTGGGGAAATCATATTTTCCAGTCAGATTGGGAAGGGGAGGACCTGCGGACCTGAGGAAGGCTGTGGGGATACCAGAGGCAATTAAATTGCTTGATAACTATCGAAAATCTGTAAAAGGTCCTGCTTTAGGCCGAGCCCGCTTCTCTATGGCGGGAGAACTGCAAATGCCTGATCAAGTATGGTGAAGCCTGATGATCTGATCTATTCTGATCAAGTCTCCATATAGAGCATATCAGGCCTTTTCAGATTCTGTTCAGGCATGATCAGATGCATATTTTTGATGGGTATATCATTGTGTATGGATTTGCCACATTACAGCAGTTTTCTCAAGTGAAGGCACTGAAGCAAGCTAAAAAAGGTAGTATAAGGTGTTATTCAGTAAATGATTTATAGAAAACTAGGCACCCACGCCACCACATCCAACACCCTCACCACCAGAGTTTGAGCCCGAATCATTGCCACCCACACCCACACTCAATTCACACCTGCACCGGCAAAGTCCCATACCCACACCAACTCAGCTCATACTCACACCACAAGGGTCCACACCCACACTACCTATCATCACACCTCCAGCACTGGTGCGGCCTCCCATGGACTGAACAACAGTGGTATAGTGGCTGTGCTTATCCCATTGCGGGCGTGCATCACTATTATGCATTATAGTTATTTTTCCATCTCAGACACTACTTCTGTATACACTTTCTGGGCTTGATATTACCATTGCCGGTCCCTTAACAGCTATCAAAGCTGTCTAAGTTGAATAAAATGATATTTTAACAGGTCAGAACCTATAGCCTTAAGAAATACTTAATGAATAGGTCTAGAAAAATAATGTCTAAAAGACTGTGCCTCATTGTTATACTGTATAGGGCTGCTTATTAAACTGTACTGAGTGCAGAAACTGTGTATCTTCAGAAATGGTTGCAGTTGTACTGTAAATATATGACATGCTATAGTACTTTATTATTCATACAATAAAATTAGGGACAATAATTCAAGCCCATAGTAGACAGGGCAGAGATCATAGTGCAGTTTCTGATGGATTTATTATCATATCATTGTGACTATGCTTATCCATGTGTTGGAGTACATAGAGACATTTTAGATTACTAAAGCTATCTGCACTGGGTGCAAAAACCTATATTCTCTTTGGAAATTTGGTGATATTACAGTAAAGATGTGAGTTGGAAACATGTCTGTATTTTTGAAGATATGGGATGAAACGCAGTGATATTACAGTAAATATATGAATTGGAGCCATGTCTTTATTTTTAGTAGATATTGTGGGATAAGATATGGTGAAATTACAGTGTAAAAGGGATGTACAGTTAATGTACAGTGAGTAGATGTTTCCGTAACCTTCCTGTAAAATAAGTGGATATACACATATGTTCCCAATTCATATTTCCCCTGTAAAATTACTGTATTCCAATTACAGGGTCTTGTTCCCAGTGATAAAGTGATTTACATTTAATATACAGTTTCTGTAACCTCCCTGTAAAAAAAGTGGAAATACATAAATGTTTCCAGTTTAATCTTAGAGTTGGCAGTATCAGTGTTATTAACTGAAAGTGCATAGAAATGATTTTACATTCTGAGAATAGTAGTCAATATATATTTGGACATTTCATAGGAAGATATTCTAGATATATTTCATGTAGGAGTAAGACAGCCTCAGAATTAGGTGAAGTAATTGACTGTTGTTTGCCAACAAATTACGTTGCAGCTCAGTCAACAAATTAAGGTTCATAATGGGAAAATAGGATATAATTTAGATAGATTTTGCTTTTGAACCAAGCCACTTGAATTCTGTGCTACTGGTACTAACAATCATACTGATACTATAGGCACTATTTATAATAATTACTAATTTTCAACTTGTCCCACATCTTCCCACACCTGCACCAACAATTACGGCATACTGCACCTTTCTATATCCCGGTTGAAATCTGAAGGACTAGTCAGGTCTGATTTGGGATTTGCACTTTTTCCAACATAAATTCATCAATCATGCCTTTGACACTCTAGATCAGAGCATGGTGATGCCATGCCAGAGCCAGTACAGGAAACTGAACTAGTTCGATTTGGCGCCCGTAGACATTTCGGAATTGACTCTTCTTCATAGAATGCTTCTTTTGATCTTGATGGTTTAACGATGTAAGGTTAACTGAACATTTCTCAGCAGCGAGATCTTATCCGTCACCCACGCTCGGAGGTACAGGACTCGCTTTATTAAGTCAAGCTAGCTCTGTCGTACATCATGTTTGCTCCTCGTACCTTCACTTTATCCGATGGGATCGAAATATTTTTTACGGACAGCGGTCCTCCCCCAAATTCGGCTGATTACACAACCATGATAATTCTTCATGGTAGTGCCTTCAATGGACGTGAGTTATATTCCTTGCTCCCCACCTTCGCCTAAATTATTTAGATGGTTTTGAAAAACTGCATGACCATGCATTCAAGCTGAACCTCCGGACTCTGATCTGGAACCGACGTGACTACCCCAGATCAACGAAATACTCGGATGAGGAGCTAGAGGACTTGAATCAAGGCCGTAAAGTATTCATTGACAAGCTCGGGAGACAGCTTGCCGACTTCGTGAAACAATTTATCCAGAAAGAGAACATCCCTATAGCTACAGCCGATCGCAAGGCAGGAGGCGTCGCCATCATGGGCTGGTCAATGGGTGCTGCTACGGCCATGTCCGTCTTTTCAGACCCAAGTTTACTGTCCACGGAGTCGTATAATCTCTTGAAGGATTATATCATACATCTTATTCTTGATGGTGAGAATACTTGATCACAATCATGGTGGTAGAAGGCTCTAACGAGAGTATGTAGACTCCCCACATCTATGCTTTGGTTATGAGGTGCCTCAAAAACATAAAGTTTATGACCCTTTGACGGATCCTAACTGCAAGACGCCTGAAGAACTATATCAGAACTTCGGCTTCTGGGTGAGCTCCTTCTATGAACATCCAGACCCACGCAGTGGAAAACTAGAAGACATGGATATCCAAAGCACCCGTGCTGGTGACCCAACAATTATGAAGTGGACCTCAGAGGAATTTGCTAAATTTTACACTCAGGATGCTGCTGTGCGCTCTGAGCTACGCATGTAGGGCCAGTTTCTCAGCTCTTCCTTCCGATCATTACTGATAACGATCAGGTATGTGCCCCCGATGCAGCCTACTCTAGCTGAGATGACGGAGAGGGTTTTCTACAATGAACAACTCATTGGAAGCTTCTTCCCACACCTGAATGTCATCCTCATCACTGGTACACATTCAAATTGGCAGTGTCTTTGGGGACTATCCGAGACCAAGAGACGATACGATACCCATGTTGCTCAGGGCAAGAAAGCTCGACCGATCTGTCTTCACTATATCGAAGGTGGAAACCATTTTGTGAGTAAGCACGACATAGATGTGATAATAATTCTAACAAGTTTTTATTACAGGCCCATTGGGAAGCTCCAAAGATCCTTTTGCAGAAGGCAATTGAAGCCATGAGGGCCTAATGTATTTAACGTAAACAGAATCTAACCAAATTTAGCCGAGTTCTCAAAGCACCTTGTTTCTATTATTGGTAAGGAGGTTTACCGAAAGTCTCTTCCTGCGCTCACCTGTGTCCAAACAACATTTGGTGCCTGAGCGGGTAAACACCAATTTCCCTGCAGATAATTACGAGGCTGACTTTAAGACCTGTCTTTACTGAAACCCATTGCTTGTACGGTCCCATAAGACACAGCATGAAACTTATCTGACACATCGTGATTACTCAAGGTTTGATGACTGACATTAGTCATTTAATGTCACTGCGGTGGCCAAACAGTATATGCTAGTCATTTGTAGGCCAGCAGAGGCCTGCTAGCATTGATGAGTCCTAAACTTAAAATAAGGAACTGTTCAAAGTTACTTGTGGTCTGAAAAAATAGACTTGTTTGGTACTAGTAAAATTGGAATTCTTAAGAATCATTCTTATGAAAAGAAAGTGGGCCATTGCTGCGCGTGGCAAATACGAGGCCGTTAAGTCGTAGGCCGTAAAACATAAAGTTTAAAGTTTGAACTAATGACGCACCGACGGATCTTAAACTAATGCCGTGCCATGAATACCTATCGGATAAATGGGGATAATGCTTAATGGAGATATCCTTGGAAGCCCAGTGAGCAAGACGAGACCTTTGTTGTGGGTCAAGTAATCTTGGGATAAATAATACTTGGGGATTGAACCCATGATCCCCTGGACATATACCAGTAGCTCTAACCACTGAGCTATTAGCCCATTGGATATCAATCAAATGGTTGGCTGGCAACAAGTAGAAGATTTCACTTGTATATTAGGAATGCCTATGTCAGTAACTTAGGTTATGTGGGCCAGTGGGTTATCACTGGCAGGTACGAGTCCAATTAGATATCACTATTAAATGTTTTAAAGTGAGTATACCTTGGCTATAATTTACAAAAAACAATTTCAAAAATTTTTATTAATGAGAAGATAAATCTATATAATATTGTCAGTTACCGCAGTAGTCAAGTCCCAAATATACAATTCAAGAGGATACAAATTCTACTAATTTTCAATGGAAGAAAATTGGGGACAGTAGCAAGACCCAAACCCATTCAATACAATATGAGCTTCTGCACATGAAGGTTTTTTAATTGCACTAGCAGACATCAATTATATAATTACATACAGAAAAGCCTACCAATTCTTGCAGAATTTTATTTATGTTCTGTCTGTAAAACATACAAAATTTGGAGCATTTGCATCCAGAAAACAATACTTTTGTATATATTGTGTCCAAGTTAAGGAAAATCTAGAAAGATAGCAAAAAATAAGTTTGAAGATGTCTCTAAGAAAAGACTGAAGTTAAGGTGAATATTCTTTAGAAATTTCGATCATAGTGTGTATTTCGATGGTTTTATAATTAGAAACTTCATAATATGGTGCCCCATCATCTATTCTTTACCTGTGATTAACCCCTGCAGTGCCATTAATTTTCTGTGATATATTGAATAACATGGTTCTCAGATGATGCTTTTAAAGTGAGATCTTTAGTCATTGTTATGCTATCAGGCTCTGAGAGGGTTGGCCTCTGCCAGTTATATATTTAAAAACAAGGGCCCTGGCTGGTGTCATCTATTTTAGTATTGTATTATTTCATATGAGGAATTTTGGCCCCAATAGGCAGACCAACCCTGGAGCTGCCCTGTTTGGCCCTCAAGGTCTGGGCCAACACTCAGATTTTGAAGACCCTGGACCTGTTTTGACTGGCCCTCATTGACCCTCCTTTCTAAAAAAAGAAAAGAATCAGTGGCCAACCCAGACCTACCCTGAACCTGAGGGTTGAGGGCCAAAATTTGCTGGCCTGAACCTTATTCAACAAGAAGATGTCAGAGGTCAATAAACAGAATTAGATAGGATTGGTGTATCTATGCAAGCTAGTTTTTGTAGTTACAATTATAAAAGTGTTCTCATAAAATTCCAATAGATTTGAGAATAATGAGTAACAGTAGAATAGAAGAGCAGTGGATAACAATATGCTATTACTTGTGGCACAAGAAATATGTAAGTAATATTGCAACAAGTGGTCCCAATGCAGACCGAAAAAATTAAAAATAAAAAGAATTGAAACAGTAAAAACATGCACTGGACTGTAATGACAGAATACCCTCTCTTCACATCTATTTCCAGTCAATCCAGACTCTGATTACCTGTCCATCTCACAGCATAAGTGTGAAACAACAACAGGCAAGTCTTGTGGAGGACAAAAAGAATACTGTATTGATTACATGACTATCTAGGGCGTTTTCTTTGAATCAGTTACTCAGAAATTGAGGTGAGTCAGTTACCCCAAAATGAGGTGGATCAGTGGCTTGAATAGAGCTGATTGCAATTCTCCCTTTCTCTCTTCAAAGACATCTGTTGTTAGATGAGTCTATGTGATATGAGTTCTTGCATGTGTATACCTAATGTTCATAGTGAGTTGAATCAGTTATTCCAAAATGGGGTGGGTCAGTTACTCAAACCTGAGGTGAATCAGTTACTCAAAAAATGAAGTGAGTCAGTTACCCAAAAATGAGGTGGATCATTTACTTGAAATGAGCTGAATCAGACTTGTTTATGAGTTGAGTCAGATCTTAATGTGAGCTGACTTAGTAGCTAGGTGCTGGATACATTACTTTTTTTGAGTTAATTCAGTACCAAAAAGATGTGCTACTTCAGTATGTAATTATTGTACTGGGTTGGCAGTATCTCTCAGTGAGCTCCCTCGGTTTCTACATTCAGCTGGTTCAGTACCTCATAGTGAGGTGTCTCAGTATGATTTTTTGAGATGAGGTAGATATTTTTGATTGAGCTGGGTCAGTTTCAAGACAAGGCAGAAAAATATTTTGGGACTTTGATTGATTAATCAAAATTTTCAAATATAAAGGTTTCAAGTATTGATTTGAAGTCTCTGGATTTCAGAACAGAATCAAGAGGTGATGTTGTACAAATGTAGCTATACTGGTGATGTAGCCCTTCTGCTGAGGTTCATATCCCCCAGTCATTTTTTTCACAGTGGGATTTTATATTGGTATATATATACTGTCTGGCAACAAACTTCACTGAGTAAGATGAGCTATGTGGTGCTCAACTGTGTTAATGATGGACTTGTGTCCTTCTGATTGAAGATGGTTGATAAAGAGACCCCTACTTTGTGACCCATACTCAAGACTAAAAGTGAATCTACATGTCCAAGTTGAGCCCTCAATATGCTTTGCCTTTCATTGAACGATTTGATGAATTGCTTTGGAAACCTGTATGCTTCCCATTAGTCAACATTGCCAGAGATTCTCATACTGCTTGCGAGTGGCAATTGTTTGTTGACAACCACAACAACCACAACAAGTTGATGAAGGTGTTTAGCAATGCTAAGGTAGGCGACATCAGGAACCAACATGTCTTACATAAGCCAATCCATACCCTTCAATGAGCTCGAAATTACTTCAACATGACTTCATATTCATTAAATTTGGCTTGTAGGATGTCTTGAGAATCATGTTTAGAGTAGATCCTACGAGAAATATTGGAGGAAATCAGTCCATGTGATGGAAAAAGCCAATTTTATTTTTTTTCCTCATTTCAACCCAGAATCCATTTTCCATGTGTTTGGCAAATTTCTTATTTTTTTGAGGTGGCTATGGCGGTTTATGTAATACAGATAAGATAATAGATTATCTATATAAGGAAAGTGATAAGATATGGATATGCCTCTCTGGCAAAATTGATATCATGGAGAGGCTCATAAATGTGATTTATACTGTTTTCTGACATCAGTGTTTTGATGAGTTACTGGTCACTGGTCAGCGGGCAAAAAATATAATTCATCACCAACTAGTTTACGGGATAGCATGTACTTACCATAGTATCAAAAAATGATCCAAGACGTACGAGAGACATTTTCGGTAACTCCAGGTACAATGTGTCAGGATTGTTGGTGCTGCGTCGGGAATGCGTCGGATAGGCCCTGATCATTGTCCTTGGCAATGACAGCAATGATTATGAGTCATTACACGATGCCAAATGCACTGCCAGTGATGTAATAAATGATGCCAAGACACTGGGGACATCATTTGTGCTTTCTTCCTCACTTATCATTTTTTTTTTTTTGGATGAGCATTAGGATCATCAGCGATCCGACAAAGTCAGTCCCTCAGATCCCGCATGTGGTGCAAGGATTTTCACCTCACTAGTGACCTTACCCGGAGGAAATGCTTTTACGCACAGAAAGCTTAGAGCAGACCAGTGTGGGACTCAACACTTTATCCACTGTTTCCACTTACCTACAATGGATTAATACCCACTAAAACCCCCGACTTCCATGTCCAATCGTCTGGAAGATTTGCCTCCTCATTGAGAGTTCCTGACCATGTTTCAATTACATTTGTTTTGGATAATATGTTTTTAAATTGTTCTGAGTTGCATATAAGACAATCTTGGTTTAGTCTGTTGTTTATTGTTTTTAGGTATCTATTATGGATTTCTTTTTGGCTAGCTGTGTATTCATATTCGAATGTGTGTTCGATCACTCTCACATTTCTTAGTTTCCAGATCAGGAAGATGGCTTCAGATACAAGAATTTTAAATAGTCTGGATGCACCATATCGTTTATTGCCTTTCTCATTTTTAAAGTTGATGAGAGGGTGTGCTAGTATTGTTCCGAAATTTAGGGTTGGCCATCTCAGTTTCTTCATATTCCATATTCTGCAGGCTATGTTCCATATTTCATTCTGTCCAGGGGCATTACAGTATATGTTCCATAGTTTCAGTGCAGTTACAGTATTTGCATATTGCTCTGTTTGTCAAGACTGGGGTCGACGACACTGAAACCACTCAAGTCACACTAAAACAGAGAGAGAGAGAGAGAGAAAGAAAAGAGATATATGTATGAGAGAGAAAGAGTGAGCTGGTCGTCTGTAGCTCAAATACAGTGCAGAACTACAGTTGTACAGTGTAGAGACGAAGAGGACGAACTGAGGAACTAACTACAGTGTCTATGGTATTTATACAGAGTCCTGAGTCTTGTTCCCAATGTGGAACAATAGGTAAGAGTCACATCGATATGAGTATCCAGGTAGTATGATGTGATGGGTTCTGTGGAACCTATCATAAGACAATAACTCGGTCCGTGATTGACAGATGGTGAGATCAGATGTCCGCTCAGCTGATGATAGAAGTATATAGTGATCAAGGAATCGAGGTATCATGGGGGTTTGGTCCAGGTTAGCCTGCAATCAGGTTTTGATAAGGTTTGTTGATGAGGGGATGAAGGGGGAGGTAAAAGAATAGAGGCAGTTCGTGACATTACCCCCTCTTCAGGAGGTGCTTGCGCCTGGAGCACCGATGTTAAGTGCCATATCAGTTTCCAAGGTATGTCTAAGGATTGAACAGCAGATCCAGGTCGTCTAAAAGGTGGTGATTTGTACGCACTGGGATTTTTTACATGGAATTCGTCAATCAACTGTTGTACTCCATGAAGTCCTGATGATGGTTCCCAAGAGTTTTCTGCATCCGAATAGTCCAACCACTTCACTAGGTATTCAACCCCTCGTTTATTTCGTGTTGGTCTAGAGTTCAAAATCGCTTCTACATCATATTCTTCATCGTCTGGTAAGAGTTCTGGAGGTGGTCCAGGGAAATTTGGTCCATGAGCTTTCGTTTCCCGGAATGGCATGAGAAGGGATGCATGGAAGACAGGGTGAATCTTCCAGGTCTTTGGAAGTTGTAACCGATAGTTG